GCCCCCCCACCAACACCGACTGCGACCTGTCCGAGAGGTAGGAGGAGAACCACCGCAAAACAGTGCCTCCCACTCCCACGGTTATGTCGGCGCGGAAAAGGGCTTCGCGGTTTTGTCGGTGAACTGAAAAAAGGTCATAAGTCGCATTTTTCAGTTCTGTTTTAATTTTGAACAGCCACTAAAGTCAAGAATGATCTGAATTTTAGTTTAAAGCACCCAAATTTTCTTTGATGGAACAAGCAACAGAGAGAAAAAAAATTCCAAACTCCACAAGCTTTGGATTCATGTAAAGTTTTTCGCTGTTGTTCCTTGTAGAATTACTTACATGGGTGGGGTTTTTTCAGAATTTTAAGTTTGAATTAGTGCTACTCACCGTGAATTGCCAAAGTCCTCCAATGACATCATTTTTTTCAAAGCAGGTAGGTTCCAGATCTTCCTCGAGGCAGCACTTGATAGAGGCCAGCCCACTCACTCCTGCCCCAATAATGGCCACTTTTCGTCCCATAACTTTGTGTCAGGATAGAAGCTTTTCTGAAGAGGCACCTAGAAAGTTGCACTGGTATTAATTCACGCACTACTGTCTGTTCGGCACAAAGTCCAAAGGTTATAAATCTGTAGCAATACTTTCATTATTTCCTTGTGAAGTTGTGTAAGCAGGAAGCATTTCTCTCCTCCCTTAATTATATATCTTTGCCAGGAAGCATCTGGCAAATTCAAGCACTGTTTATATTGTATATTGGAACACAAATTACTGTTCGTTTCTCAGGGAGGCCCTCTTGCCTCTTTTAACACTAGAACTTTGTTAATACTCACCATCCCTAAACAACATTCTGCTATGCAGTGTCAGAGATTCTCATAATAATGGTAAAAATAAATATGGAGGACACAGGGACTCCAGATTCTAATGGTTATGGGGTGGGGGTGCTCAGTCATGAAAAAGGAAAGTAAAAATTTTTTTAAAAAAGTGAATTGTGCTCCAATACAGCATTTTAAGTCAAGTTAATGAAAGTGTTTGCAAACAGAGCTGAGGTGGCGCAGTGGTTAAATGCAGCACTGCAGGCTACTTCAGCTGACTGCAGTTCTGCAGTTCAGCTGTTCAAATCTCACTGGCTCAGGGTTGACTCAGTCT